GTGCCTGAATATTGGAATAATTGGAATGAAACCTCCAGCTACGTTACAATATAATAATAAGGTTAGTGAGCTTCAGCACTATGTACATCTTGATATCTGGTATATGTTACTTAAAGGCACAACCCAGGCAGAGGTCGTGTGAACGCTTCCCTTCGGTCTGTAGTATAGACCCTAGAGGACAATCACAAATGTGGCGTTCCGTGCACGGAAACCAACCGACAAGAGCGCTTGGGCCTTGCAAAGTAAGCTGCTGAAGCTGCAGATTTTTTTCTCTTATCAGGCTGTTGTCTGGCGCTCTCTCATCTGTAGCGCTCTCTCGCCTCATACTCTCCTCTCCGCGCTTAGTCTCTCATTCCCTTAGCACAGCCGATTAGGAAGGTGAGTGAGCCCTTAACCTAAGCGTTTTCGACGGATTCTTTTCCTTTTTCTTTACTGCCGGCCCATTTCGCACCAATACATTCGCATTCGTGTGCAAGAGCCACACCAATGTGATCCTGGGGCATGCCTTTGAATGTTACTTCGCTCATAATATAAAATCTTAAAAATGTAAATCTTAATAAGCATCTCTGGTCAAAATTGTTTTTCTCAGACAACGAAAATTCATGTTTTCATTTTCGCATTTCTACTGACGTCGCTTGCATGGTCAATAGGTATGAAAAATTCGGCGCGATCGAGGAATGTTTGTCTTTTCGCGACCGAACAAACAACGATTCCAAGTGTTAAAACTCCGAACCACCGTTCCTCTATAACATATGGTTAGCACAGAATGGACACCCACCTATACTCCTTCGACAAACAAAAAACAACGAAAAAGGATTGGAAATTCATCGTAAAGTTCAAACCTGATGAATGTAAGCCTTAGCCTTGTACCCGTCTTTGCGGTATTTAGCTAGAAAGGTCTCAAATGTGCCAGATTGTCGGCAGTAGGCCGCATCCGAGGCATCTTGGCAACGAAATGACAGCTTTTCTCCTGAAATACAAACACATCCAACAGTGAGAAGATTCAGGACAAAAAAATATCCTTTACATCTTCTCAGGTACATAAATCGAACGCAAAACCGATTTTTCCTGGATTATGAACACACCTATAGTTTTTCTCAGAATTTACGCTCTGTGACTTTCCTCCTCTATTCTCGTGTAGTATACGTTTCGCCTTCCTTTTACTAATACAAAGCATTGCCCCGCCCCACCCACTACAGAGTATTTACCTCTTGCGAAACTTGAGGTCAGTAAAGTTACCAAATTCCTTTTGTGGAAGGAAACATTCGAAGAATGAAAAGGGAGAGAATTGGGAATGGAGGGCGTAAGTTTTTCCAAACTCTTTTTTGTGGAGGCAAAATTTCGAAGAATGAAAAGGAGGAGAGAATGGGAATGGGGGCGGTGTAGCCAGCGCGCTGTGTCAAGTGTTGCCAGCCGAGAGAGATCGTACTAGGTCAGCGGAAAGGGCGAGATTTGCGGAAGCGCGAATCCCGTAAAATTTAAAAGTAAGCATAGTAAAGGATAACGGGACGAGTGCATGGAGCGTGCCACATCGGAAGTGGTCATTCGAAACGCCTCATCTCTCAACGAGCATGGTGAAAGATCCCTTCCAAGGGAACCTGATGATAGATTTACATACTAGTAATACATATAAAGCGCAATGAAAATCAGAAGAAAATCCCGGCAAAAGAAAGCTCACTAGTAACAAGTTCCTAGAAGTGGTAAGTGAAGACACCACGATCAGCTGTAGTGTGATTTTTTTAAGGTTTTCAACGCTTTCCAGAAACAAGGAAGCAAAGCTGTGACCATTCAAAAGTTGAAAGCTTTCATATTGAGAAGCAACCAAAAGAGGAAAATCAACAGAACGAATGTTCATGAAAGAATAAGCTTCGAGGCACGCTTAATGGGTATATTTCGGAACCCCTAATTTCGTGCTTCCTTTTATTCTAAGAGGTTGTAAGGCTTGCTTCCAGCATCAGAAGCCTGAATGCGTCTTGTGCACAAGAAGCGCAGCGAGGCGATTGAGTTCGCGGAGATTTTCAAAGTTGCCTAGGTTATGCGAATTATTGAGAGCTCGTAGCTTATTGGTTTGGAGAAATTTGGCGATTTCGAGATTAGAACTCTCTGCAACTTCAACAATCTCTGAGGTTCTGCGGAAATGTGCAATATGAACGGGAACGAGCGCCGTTGCTCGGAGCAAAGCGTGAGGAGACCATTGAATTTTATTGCGAAAGCACACAAATGTTTTCATAGATAGTAGATTAAAATCGACACAACGACAAGATTGTTGCTGACAGGATACTGTGAAGAGCAATAGACAAGGCTCTTGTGCGCCTATTTCGGAACTTAAACTTCACGTACCGTTTAAGGTCACTTGGCAAAAGAGAGTCTCAGATGCACTTTAAATTTTGGAGACAGTGGGGTGGGTATTGGAGCAGCGGCACCATTTCAGAAGGTAAGAACACGAAGTGATCATTCGATGACGGCGACGTGATTCTAGCATAGCAGTATAGACCGCTGTAAACGGGCGGTAACTTGGGAAATATGCTAAAGCCCGATCAGAAAATAGGGATCACCGGTCTCAAAAAAATGGTGGTCGGCCTAACGTATCACCTTTTGCGTTGCTGGAAATGGCTGCAAAGATTCTTTTATTACTGAACGATCAAACCTCCATGAGGAGTGCTGTTGGATCCCGATATTAGACCAATTGTGTGCAGAACTGACTGTTTTTATATAGACATATAGCACTGCGCAGCATATTATCGGTCACTGATGCTATGAGGGTCAGCAGGACAAAGTTTGAACTACTAGTTCGGTAAGAAAGTCTTGGTCTCTTGACACCTTTTCTGCTTTGCTTTTTTATTCCGCGTACAATGGAATTTACTCAACAATATAATCACCATTGTTACTCACTACAGAGTCCCACCTAATGGGCAGGTCAGCGACCCCCTTCTCCCAGAACTGAGCAGACTGAGAGTCAAAGAAATCGCTGACCGCTCTTTCAACGTCTTCAACTTTGGTGAATTTTTTCTTCGCTAGGAATGCCTTAAGGAGCGAAATAAGTGATAGTCAGAGGGGCAATGTCAGGGGAATAGGGTGGCTAGGGAACCGTGTCCCAACTCAGCTCCTCCAACTTTCCAAGGCCTCTTTACCCATATGAGGCCTTGCGTTATCGTGGACTAGGTGGACAAGAGCTTGCCTCGGTAGTCTTTCTACTTCCAATCTCCCCAATTTAGCAGGGACGAATCGTTGACCTGGGGGGGTCCATTTTTTTTTAGGGGGGTGGAACACTGCACTGTCTAACAATGGTGATTATCTCATTCAGAAAATTTCATCGTATGCTGATTAAAAAAATAATGAGTAAAAAAGTCAAACAGCTCAAGACTTCCTTACCATCCTCAACTTTTCGTAGCAAGCTTACTTTTCCTGAGGCCAGTATGACAGCTGGCTCCCTAGTAGTTTGTTTCGCCGCCGCTTAATCTGTTTTTGAGATCTTATCATCAGAGGTGTTTTGCGCGACTCGTGGTTCGTGAGCTGCACGAGTGCAGCGTCAAACAGAGTTGAAGATAGCAGCGCCCAAGAAAAATCGGGCTCCTCACAAGCAAGAATGAACGACCGATTGCTTTACTTTAGATTGAACTCTACTTTTCCATCGTCGCGATGCGCTTGAGGACAGGACGTTGCTAGTATTATTTCTAATGAACAAATTGTTCTTTACTTTTTGCTCAAACTTCAGCTAACAAAACAAAGGTAGTGAAAAGCATCGACAGAGAGGTATGCGGTAATCCACGCAAAAGGGAAGTGACCACTCTTACTGCGTGGCAGTGTTCCCTTTTTCGGAAGCGTCCATTAGTTCCCAGAATTCTCCGCTAAAAGTAATCACCTACAAGGACTACCGACCGGGAGCCTCGCCCAGAACTTGCGTCAGAGATACAATTTCTATGCATAACCTCACCTGAAGAGGAGCTTAAATACTCGAGCGCGACCCGACAGAAGCTATATCTAAGCGATCATTGGTCGCTGATTCGGTATGACCGCGGGCTGGTTCAACTTGTTACGACAGCAGTGTCTTCATTACGCGTTACCCTAGCGCTTGCGTCCATGCACATTCTGAAACGCTTTCACGATTCTATATAAATAGCGGCGCGTTTACGTTGAGTGAACTTCACATTTTGAGTGTAGGTGGACACATTGCAAAAGACGGCTAGGAGTGGGATCACCATCTTCTGCCTTGCGAAAAATCCTTTCCTGCACATTAGTGGCACACATGAGCTTCACATCTGTGACGCTCTTAATAAATTGTTTTTCTCCGAGGAAATAGAGCCAATTGTGCTGTGCCGTTTAGAAAGATAGAAGAGCTGCGAAACATTTTCTTTTTGAAAACGCTTCACAGTTTAATTCCTCCTGGAATAACAGCTGATAATAATGAAAGGTCTTAGGACGGGATCATTTTTACTATCCTGACGATTCGATCGCTTCGACCTATTCCAGAAGGCTTGGGGGCATTGTCAACAGGAGTTTACACCGATCGGTGTGAATTCGCTGAGATTGGCGCCATTAAAACAAACACATGGGGTGAGCTAGTGCTCCTCATCGGTGGAATCTTTGACAATCTCCAAGCCTCTGAAGAAAGACGAAACGGTCGAAACGCAAGGTCAGTCAATCAAGATTCTGTCTTGATAACCTCGTTTGGAATTCAGTGCAAAAACAACTACTTAGGTCATTGTTGAACCCGTCTAGATGAACAATTAACTAGCCTTGATCGGAATGCTTTTCGCGCTACAAAAGTATGACAGAGCTTTTGAGTATCTCTGATCGTTTCTTCGAGAAAATATTTAAAAACCTACCTCGTTCGTGACAATAATTGAAGCACATCACTCCAAAGCCAAGCTGCTGACAAGCGCCATGCCTCGCTTTAAAAATCGAAGCGCATGTCTTTTTGTACTGAAACAACAAGAGTATCAAGCACACTGAAATATCACATTTTTTTTACTCTTACCTGAAAATTGCTACCGACTGGTTCCTTGGCGCCCAGTCGTGGAAGAATCCAAGTCTTGTCCAGCGCTCTAATCAGCTGATTTAATTTCCCTACATCAATGAGCTCGCTTCGCCCGGGTGTCTGGAATGAAAGGCTGAGGATTGGTATATTGCGTATATGACTCAAGAAAGACTGTTACATTTTGTGACTGTCTACTTGATGCTCGTGGAGCAATAGGTGCAGCCATTTGTCGCGACTTGGTTTGCTCGATCGCTCGATTCACCTGCGCTTGCCTTGTGTCTGAAAGTGCTCATAATATATTTCATATTTAATTCAATGCTTATTAGGCTGTCTTTACTATATTTATCAAAACGAACTCAAACAAAAATCAGGTTCTCATCGAGTTCGCGTTGTATTTTCTCATTTGGACAACCCTTATTTACCCACTCCAATTTTTATCATTTCAAAGCAACAACCACAATCGAAATGGTGAGCTAACATTCCATAACCATGAAGATGGCGGGAAATGAAGTGCCTGGATAAATCTATCAATTTAACTACCCACCCCTTATCTTATCCGCCACATCTTAATCCACTCCGCGTGATGGCGAGGGCGAGGTATCTCGTCCATAAGTTCACATTAGTAGCCATCAGATCACTTTGTAAGGCCCTGGCGCTCGTTCTGGCAACAGCACAACTGTGATACTCGTGGGCTATTCTATCTCACCCACGTGATGGATTCTTCGACACGACCTCATTTTGGGTTGCTGCTTTAATGTGTTCTAGGGCCGGTCTGCGATTAGCTGCAACATTACACATGTATGTCTCTTTGGTACGAGTTCCACTGGAATGAGGACGCGTCACTGACAAATTCACTATGTAGGTCCAGATGCCTGAGAGGTCTTTAGCAGCCCATCACCTCCATGGTGCTTAGCTCGGCGATGTACATAGATCAAATCATAGCTCAATCAAAGCAGCTGCTTTGATAGTGCTCTTTCTTAACTGCGGAACTACTCTACTGCGCTTGGAAATTTATCACTATATATATATATCGAAAAGTCATAAGTGTTATGAATATTGTCCGAGCAGGCATTTTCCCATAAGCAGCATTAGCAGCTTGTGATTGAAGAGCCTTCTCCTTTCATGGTTAGCATCGAAGCATCTTATTCTCGAACGTTCCAGAAACAGTGGTGTTATTGGCAGAGCGCACTGCGGGTTCTGACAATTATCGCCTCCCAAGAAAAGAAGGCTTGGCAATGTCTCCAGAAAAAGCCACTATCACATCTGTCTTATGGATTCACTGAAAGCGAATTTTTGTAGAATTTTTGTTCAAAGACAAAACAGCAGGCGACCGTTAGTCCCAGCGAGCACAAACCTACGCAACATGTAGATTACCAACATGTGATTTCAGTTCTTTCTCAGTGTTTGACAAGATAAGTGGAAAGACCATGTGCAGAAGATTTGTAAACGGTATCAATTTATCTCACATTAATGCTGGGTTTTGGGCCAAATTCTTCGCCCCCAGGCGATTATGCGGCACTAGGAAATTGATAGGAAAACTTGATATTGATTGTTTGTTTACAATGGAGAATCATTCACACCAAAATAACACGCCAACTTTCCAAAAACTATTTGTAGCGCTGCATGCATGAATTCTTACCGAGGCGAAACATTGAGTGAGGTTCGCCAATCTAATGAAGCAACCTACGCTAGTTCAATTGAAGCAGTTATATTGTTCTGTATAAAAAGGTACGTCGCAATCAGCTACCATTTTGGACGCATCTTTTCCTGTCACAATGATAAGCTGTCCCCTCATAGGAGGCTTCAGCTGCCCAACAACCACTTCATTTCCAATGAGCGCTGGACCTTCCGCTGCTTGGCTATTGCTTGCAGTTCTTGTTAGCGTGGTCCAAATCTTGGACTGTTGAACAATGGCTCAATGAGAAAATAACTAGTACGGGTCATATTCTTGGATCATTCATTAGGAGCGTTCTGTTATGTTGAAGCGATGTGAGGAACACGTCCGAAGAGGGTTCACGAATTTGAAGAGATACAACTCCATCGAATCAAAACTGCTGCCGCGACGAGTAGGGCAAAAGGCCAATGGATAATTCGCTACTGTCTCCTGTGCTTTGGAAATTAAGGAAGATAATGTGTACGTTTCTTGAATATCGAAAATTAAGAGGGACTCCAGCGGATAGCTTAAGAAGCGGTATCTCGATTGTTCCCATAACAAAGCACCTTGGTGTGTGATGGGAGAAGCACGAAGAATCAAGCTCAACCTCTGATATAAGCAGTAATTTTAATTGTAGCAAATTACAAAAGTTCATCCTGTCTTTACTCTAAAAGGAAAAAAATCTGGAATCTTCTATAACAAGCCCTAACACCAGTTCGTCACATGACTGTTCACTCGAGAGCACACTCTTTGTCTCCAGAATCGTTGGTCCTGTTGAACTTAAGCTGTAATTTCGACTGCAAATCCCACACTATTGATGAGAAATGAGTCAGCTTTGACCAGTCGCCGCGAGCGAAAAACGGGTGTCTCAAAGGACCCGTATTTGAACAGAGGCTTTTAGGGCCCGAAAGCGTCGAAAACTCCGGCTCATTGTTGGTGGAGCAGATTAAGTGAAATGGAGAAG